ATGGTGTGGGCTTTTCTGGTTGTGGACGTTTTTTTTTTTTTTTTTTTTTTTTTTTTTTTTTTTTTAACCCCCTGCGACGACGCTAGGGGGAGTGATATGAGCATCCCGTCCTAGCAGGCCACCTGGTTGCTCCAATCTATTGGTGGTTGTGGACGTTGCAGTTTGTGTTCGTTCATTTCTTGGTTATGGGATGTTGGTGGCTGGTTCTCGTCAGTCGTCATCCTCAGTGTGCATTTCCTTTGCCACCCGATCTCAAAAAGCTGATTTGTCCGGGGCCTGTACGGTGTCAGGCAGGGCCCATCTTCACACTTCCGTATCTGGTCCAATTCTTCTGTGTAGTTCTGAAGACGCCGACAAAACCTCAGGCGTGCACAACAGTTGGTGCTGCCAGTCGCGACCTTGATGTGCTGTTAACAGACCACAGGATGTCTCAGTAGAGGGTACTTAACTATGTATCTTCTGTGAATGAAAAGAGAACTTTCCTGTGGCCGTCGACGTGCTGCTACAAGGCTTTGTGTTGCTTGCCTTGCTTGCCTGATCTTCATGTTGTTTCACAAACGACTTCCCAAGCACGCCTGTTTTTGCATATCTCTTGAATTATGCAATCAAATTCTATTCTGGGTGGTGCCTGCTCTTATCAGCACCACTAACACTGACGGGGGCGTGAGATTAAAAAAAAATAAAAAAAATTGATCTATTCTGGGTGGTTGAAGTTTCACAAAATCCCTGTGGCTGTCGACATGCCTCGCACTGTTGTCATTCTTCACCGAGAATTTTGTGAATATCCCCCCCCCCCCCTCACCCCCCCATGAAGTAATATATATTTAGAAAACGATGAAGCCTCGTCTGCCACTGGGGACGACTTATATGCTGTAGCTGCTCTTCTTCTTCCCGCCTGCTATGATATGATGGTTGGTCGAACTTTGGTACGATGGAAGAGACCTCGCACGAGTACCCGCTCGTTGGAGAGTTATGGATAGCAGCATTGAACAGAGATTGCACACTCTGGTCATGTCATATAGGCAGAGATTGCTCACACATAAAGCCTGGCATGGCATTGCCTTTGCATGTCCTTCCTTTCGCGTTGTCTTTTTATTCTTGTTGTCGTAGTAGTCTTTTTCTGTTCATATATAGTCTCTTTTCCGTTGACGTCCTTCTTTCTTTCTTGCTGTTTTTCTTTTTCTCTTTCGCTCTTTCTCTCTCTTTCATTCTGTCTCTTCCATTAAGTCATTTCTTTCTTTCTTTCTTTCTTTCTTTCTTTCTTTCTTTCTTTCTTTGTGGCACTTGAGAGTCCAGGATTAGATATTTAACCTCTTTCACATTCAGCGGCATTCCAGACCCGAGTTCAAACCCGGATGAGGGAACGTGATGAGTAAAACCAAATATTTCTGAATTGCCTGGGGCAGGTCAGCTCAAAATTATATCTCAAGACCGTCGTCCTTTATTTTGAAAAAAAAAAAAAAAAAAAAAAAGGTTTACTGTGCGACGAGAACTGCACTGCTCTAACTCCCTTCCTATCCCTGTTGACGGATCTACGTGCCATTTAGCAGGGAGGCTTCAACTTCCCCCCTTTGGAAAAAAGGACATGCACAGACAGGCATGACAGTGGGCTGGAACTACCGTCGTCATCCGAATAGAGAACACCTGGTGGGAAAAAAAAAAAAAAAAAAAAAAAAAAAAAAGAATGCCTGGTCATTATCGCGGTATCTAGACTGAAAGGTGCCCCATGTACAGCACAGCTGTAATGACAGGGTGTTCTATTCGGGTGAAGCCGGCAGGCTTGGGGGAGACATGAGTGGAAGCACTGTGTGAAATGAGGAGGTGAATCAGGTGACGCCATTTTGGGAACTTGGGGTGGGGAGCAGATTTCATGAAGGTTGGCACAGGATACGATGAACAAGATTTATGCATATTTGCAATTGGTCTTGGGGGGTTTTCACTTCGATGGAGACCAATGTCTAAAAGTGAGGCTATGCTGTTTGAGGGTCTGTTAAGGTGGAGCTGCAGATGCTTGGGCTGCGTCTGCTGAGCATCATCAACTCAGTCATACAGTCAAAGCATGCAGTGTTTTTTTTTTTTTTTTTTTTTTTTTTTTTTTTTTTGGGTCCGCGTTCGGCCCGAACGGCCGAACGCATCCCCAAGGAGTCCCATACGTTCGGGCGTTCGGGTTCGGGCGTTCGGCCCGTCCCGAACGCTGGTTAACCTGTATATATATATATATATATATATATTGTCACATAATATCTATATTTGTGCACGTGTGCCGCTTTGGCGGCAGACGGGTTTCTGGCACACTTCCCGCTCAACCACACAAACGTTGGGAACCTTGCACCTTCTACTATAATGCTCCTTTTTTTTGTTTATGGATAGTTTTTATTAGTTTGTGATGGTG